GGGAAAAGCCCCCCCCCCCAAAAGGAAACCCCCCTCAAAAAAAAAAAAAAAAAAAAAAAAAAAATATATATATATATATCTAATGAGACATTGAGAGATGAGATGGTTTTCTTTTTGTTCTTGTTATTACCATAGGGTACTTTAGCTGCCCAAAGACAGAAGAAAACACCCTACCCTCCCAACGCCACCGCCCCACATCCCTGCAGTGGGGAATGGAGATATCATGATCCTCTGTTTTTCAGTTTCTCTCCATCCCACAGGAATTGGGGCAGGCACACATACTGCCATGTTTTTAAATCCACTGGGGGGAATCTTTTTTTTAAGAATTATTTTATTCACTTAAAATTTTATTTTAATTTGACTGGAGAGGGACAGGATGTGAGAGAGAGTGAGAAAGTAAGCCTCCAGGTTCAGGACTCGAACCATGGTCAGCCATGTGGGAGTCTAGCACCCTTAAACACGCCAACTGCCAACCCCATCATTATTATTTTTTTAACTTGACCAAAGAAAGAGAAAGCAAGCCACCAGGGCCAGGACTTGATCCATTCCTGGAAATGAGGTTTTAACCTTTATAGATCATCTTTGATCTGTCTTCCTTTGTACAGAATTTAACTGCTGGACTATGGGTCCAGCCTTAAATTTTGTTTATTTATTTACAGTGAGATTTTTGCTTTAGGGCATGTCCACTCACCTGAGAGACAGAAAGCGAGAGATCACCCTCGAAGGGGATGGCCACACCACAGTCCCTTCTCCATTCTCCTCTTGGGATTTTGGGCACACACTCACACGTGCCCAGCATGAGTTGTTGTTGTTTTTTAAGAAATTATTATTATCTTTTGTAACTTAACTATTTATTTATTTAAATTTGCCATAGAAGGACAGAGTGAGAGAAAGAAAGTGAGGAAGGAAGCCACCAGGTCCTGGACTTGAGCTATGGTTGGCCATGTAGGAAGTCCATTGTCCTTAACCACCACGCCACCTGCTGGCCCTCGACGTGTTTTAAGCCGCTGGCTCCAGAACTGGAACCATGGCCGAATACCATGGGAGTCCAGTGACGCAACCATTATGCCATCTGCTGGTCCCTGGGCCTTGATTTTTTTTTTTTAACAATTATTTATTCTCTGTTATTATTACTGTTGTTTAATTTGACGGGAGAGAGGCCAGAGAGAGAGAGAGAAAGGGAAAGTGAGAAAGCAAGCTACCAGTTCTGGGGCTCTAACCTTTGTCAGCCATGCGGAAGTCTAGCACCTTAAGTACTGCACCATCTGTGGGCCCCGCCTTAAATGAATTTAATGATACAAAACAGAGGTGATTGCAATCAGCAGGTGGCATGGAGGTTAAGGCAGCTGGGTCCCACACGGCCAACTGCACAGTTCCAGTCCATCTTGGAAGCCTGAAAAACATGCTATAAATGTGAATGCACATGCCTAAAACCCAAAAGAATGAAGAAGGGATTGCAGTTTGGTGATTTCCCACGGAGGGTGATTTCTCACTTTCCCCCTCTTGTTTTCTCTGTCTCGGGCAAGCACACATGCCCTATAGCTAACTAAAAGGGGTGACAGTAGGTGTGTGGTTAAGGCGCCAGGCTTCACACAGCCAACCGTGGTCTGAGCGCCAGACCTAAGGGCTTGCTTTCTCACTTTCCCTTTCTCTTTCTCTTTTGAGTACATAAGCCCTGCAGCAAACTAAACTAACAATAATAGTAATGATAATGATTTTAATTTGACTAGAGAAGGGGGGAAGTGAGAAAGCAAGCTACCAGGTCCAGGACTCAAACCTCAGTAGGCCATGTGGGAGTCCAGCACCCTTAACCACTATGCCACCTGCCAGTACCTATTAATTATTATTATTTTAATTTGACTAGAGAAGGGGGGAAGTGAGAAAGCAAGCTACCAGGTCCAGGACTCAAACCTCAGTAGGCCATGTGGGAGTCCAGCACCTCAACCATTACACTACCTGCCGGCCCCCAGTTAAATAATTCTTAAAAGTGGAAGAGTCAATATGTGGCATGGTGGTTAAAGTGCTGACTGACCTTGGTTCAATTCTCAGACCTGGCAGCTTGCTTTCTCACCTTCTTTCTCTGATGAGTGCATGTACACTATAGCAAATTAAATGATAATAATAAAATTAAATAACTTTTTTGAAAAGGAATTAAGGAATTAGTTTTAGGGGAAAATTAAAAATTAAATATGTACTTTTGGGGCCAGGAGATGGGTTGTGGTTGAAGCACTGGACTTTCCCACATGCCCAACCGTGGTTCAAGGACTGGACCTGGTGGCTTGAATGTCTCTCTCTCTCTGTCTCTGATTTTCTCTTGCAGACTCATGTGAAAAAATATAATGAATTAATTTTAGAAAACCATGTAAGTATTTGTATAATGTTTTTGTTTTAGTTTTTTTAGTTTGGTATAGGGCATGTATATTTGCTGAAAAGGAAGGAAAGATAAAGAACATAATCAAGAAATTATCTCCCTTGGGGGTTTGGCCATGCTGCAGTTCCTTCTTCTCCATTTTCCTCTTGGGGTTTTGGGCATGCATGTATACACACGTGCCTGGCATGATTTTCAAGCCACCAGGTGCAGAACTTGAAGCATGCAGTTAGGCATGTGGGATCCAAAACCACAATATCCACACCACCTGCTGGACCATCCCAGCAGTTTTCAACCTCCAGCGTCTGGGTCTTGTACCCTGTCTTTGGCCACATAGGATCTAGCTACCTTGCCTTCGAGTTGGCCCAAGCTTCCTGTATCTTGATTTTATTATTTATTTATTTGTTTATTTTTGAGAGTTTTTTTTTTTTGGGCGGGGAGAGGGTTTTGCTATAGGGCGCGTGCGCTCACCAGAAAGACAGAGAGAGACAGAGAGACAGAAATCAAGAAATCAACCCCCAGGGGGGATGACCACGCTGAAATCCCTTCTTCTCCTCTCAGGATCTTGGGCACACGCGCCCAGCAGGAGTTGAAGCCACTGGGTTTGGGACTTGAACCACGGTTGACTACATGGGAATTCAGCGACATAGCTGTTACGCTATCTACTGGTCCCAATTCAGCTCTTGTACTTTGCTGCTCCATAATTTCTCTGTGGTACCTTTAAATATACCAAATTCTTTCTTAAAAAGTTATTTATTTATTTATTTAACTCCATCTATTGTTGTTAATATTTTTAAAAAAAATTTTTTGGAGAGATTTTCACTATAGGGTATGTGCGCTCTCCAGACAGACAGAGAGAGACATAGAGACAGAAAGAGATAAATCACCTCCTGGGGGGATGGTCACGCCGTAATCCCTTCTCCTCCATTCTCCTCTTGGGCTCTTGGGCACGCACACACACGCGCCTGGCATGAGTTTTAAGCCACCGGGTCCAGGACGTGAACTGCGGTCAACTATGTGGGAGTCCAGCGACATAGCCATTATGCTAACTGCTGGTTCCTCTATTTTTTAATTTGACCAGACAGAGAGAGAGAGAAAGAGACAAGGAAAGTGAGAAAGCAAGCTGCCAGGTCCAGGACTCAAATGGTGGTTAGCCATTTGGAAATCCAGCACTTTTAATCAACATGCCACTTGCCAGTCCCCCAGAATAATCAAGTTCTTAAGGCCCTGAATTTGCAAGTGGCCAACTGTGGTCCAAATCCTGAACTTGGTGGCTTGCTTTCACATTTTCCCTTTCTCTCTCTCTTTCTGTTTCTCTCTGGTGAGCATGTGTGAAAAAAATTAAAGTAATAAAAATAATGATAAATAAAATTTTAAAAAGTCAAGTTCTTTATTTATAGTATATTATTTATATTGATTTCCTCCAGTTCCTTGTTTCTGGTTAGCTTCAGTGCTTGGTGTATGGTTAAAACCTTTATTTCTTCATTTTTAATAATTATTTTATTTAACATTATTTATTCATTTATTTTATTTTGACCAGAGGGGGACAGAATGAGGAGAGGGGGGTGGGGAGTGAGAAAGCAAATTATCACATCTAGGACTCGAACCACAGTCGCCCACGTGGGAGTCCAGTGCCGTTAACCACCATGCCACCTGATCCCAAAACCTTTAATATCTTGTCTAGCAAGAGCCAGTGTTTGAGATTTCTTTTTTGAAACTCACACTGGATGCATGTGCATACATTCCCCAAACCCTTAGAGTAGAATGAAGGAGAACTGATTGCTGCATGACCATTTTTCTGAGGAAATTTCTTCCTTCCTGCTTCTCTATGTCTCTGTTTGTCTGGCGAGCGCACGCATCCTATAGCAAAAATCTCTCAAAACAAATTTGGTCAGAGAGAGAGCAAGAAAGTGAGCTTCTATGTCTAGGACTCAAACTGTGGTCAGCCATGTGGGAGTCCAGCGCCTTCACCACCATACTACCTGCCAGTCCCATAGCAGCACATATGAGCACTGGTGATGCTACAACAAGCTGAGTGCTTATATTTTGGTGTTTGGGTTTTTTGTTTTGTTTTGTTTTGTTTTGAGAGGTTTTCACTATAGGGTGCGTGCGCTCGCCAGACAGACCGAGACAGAGAGACGGAAAGCGAGAAATCACCCCCCCAGGGGGGATGGTCATGCTGCAATCCCTTCTCCTCCATTCTCCTCTCGGGATCTTGGGCACGCACGCACACGTGCCCGGCGTGAATTCTAAGCCACTGGGTCCAGGACGTGAACCGCGGTCGACTATGTGGGAGTCCAGCGACATAGCCATTACGCTAACTGCTGGTTCCTATTTTGGTGTTCTTAAACTGAATATAACGTTTTTAGCATTAACTTAATATATGCGTGAAAAGGATTGTAGACAAAAATTAAAAATTCTGATAACCTATAGAATGAATGAATGCAGCAGTCCATGGCATCTTGTGAATATCTAATGAACTGAGTCTAGATCCCAACTACTGTCATGCTGACCCTTCTCTACACACATATGGGATGTTGCAGGACTTAGTGCCAGTGGAAGATGTGATTGTGAACTTCACACAGGAAGAGTGGGCTTTGCTGGATCCTTCACAGAGGAAACTCTACAGAGATGTGATGCAGGAAATCATCAGGAACCTGGTCTGTACAGGTAAGGTTGATGTGTCTTCATTTTCTTAAAGAACAAGTGTTTTCTTTTCCTTTTTAAAAAAAATTATAATGTTGACGAGAGAGAGAGAAAGCTACCAGGACCAGGGCTCAAACTACAGTTGGCCATGTGGGAGTCCAGCACCCTTAACTACCATGCTACTTGCTGGCCCCATTTTTTAAAGAATTATGTAACTATTTATGTATTATTTTTTTCACTTGAGTTTTGCCCCAGAGAGAGAGAGACACAGCAAGCCTCTAGGTCTTAGACTTGAACTGTGGTCCGCCATGTGGGAATTCCAGTGGCTTAACCACCATGCCACCTGCTGGCTCAAGAACAAGTGTTTTCTTTCTTTCTTTCTTTCTTTCTTTCTTTTTTTCTTTCTTTCTTTTTTTTTTTTTTTTTTTTTTTA